GAGTGTAAAGTTGTGTTCATCTTTGATGGTCTGGATGAAAGCAGAATTACACTGATGTTTTCAGAAGATGAGAAAGTTTGTGATGTGAATGAGTCTTCATCAGTGGGTGTGTTGATGTCAAACCTTATTAGAGGAGAGCTGCTTCCCTCTGCTCTCATCTGGATCACCTCCAGACCAGCAGCAGCCAATAAGATCCCCTCAATATACATCAACCGTGTGACAGAAATTCAGGGATTCAATGAGCCTCAGAAGGAGGAATATTTCAGAAAGAGAATCAGTGATGAGCATCAAGCCAGCAGAATCATCTCACACATTAAAAGATCAAGAAGCCTCCACATCATGTGTCACATCCCCGTCTTCTGCTGGATCTCAGCCACTGTGCTTCAAAACCTCCTGAAACAAGATGACAGTGCAGAAATCCCTCAAACTCTGACTGAAATGTACATCCACTTCCTGCTGACTCAGATCAACATGAAGAGTCAGAAGTATGATGAGAAAAATCCAGAGAAACTCCTGAAGTCCAACAGAGACGTGATTGTGAAACTTGCTGAACTGGCTTTCAAACAGCTGATGAAGGGCAATGTGATGTTCTATGAGGAGGACCTGATTGAGAGCGGCATAGACGTCACTGACGCCTCAGTGTATTCTGGGATTTGCACTGAGATCTTTAAGGAGGAAACTGTGATTCATCAGAGGAAAGTCTACTGCTTCATTCATCTGAGCTTTCAGGAGTTTCTAGCTGCTTTCTTTGTGTTTTACGTCCATGTAGTCAAGAATGAGGACTCACTGATGTTATTTCTAAATGAATTTCACGGGAACGTTTGTGAAAACACTCTGTTTGAGCTGCTAAAAGCAACAGTTAATCAATCTTTGCAGAGTAAAAATGGACACCTGGATCTTTTCCTGAGGTTCCTGCTGGGCATCTCACTGGAGTCCAATCAGAGACTCTTACAGGATCTGCTGACACACACAGTGAACAGCTCAGAGATCATCAAGAGAATCACACAGTACATTAAAGCCACAATCAAGGGTGATGAACGTCTCTCAGCTGACAGATGCATCAATCTGTTCCTCTGTCTGCTGGAAGTGAAAGATCAGACTCTGTCCAGAGAGATTCAGGAGTTTGTGAAATCAGAGAATCACTCAGTGGAGAAACTCTCTCCGTCTCTCTGCCATTTGAATGTCCGTCCAAAACTATTTTTCCTACTGTCACCGTCATACAGAAGACACCTGTTGAAGTGCTCTAGATATTGCTCTGTTAACCTCTTTTCTAAACATCTCTTCTAAAGGGAGATGTTTTTTTGCCTGATCTTTGATTAGTAAATTAGATGTTTTTATTCACAATTTAACTTTATCTAACATAGTTTTACTGTAAATTGAGAAAATATCAATGTTGCCATATGGCAATGCTGTACCACTATGGAAAAATAGGTATGTTGCCATATGGCAACGCTGTACCACAGTGGAATTGACGTAATGTATTTCCCCATTGGGATTTTTTATAGATAGTAGCATCAATAATATGATTGCAGTTATTTATTTATTTGAAGTGTTTATTGTAGTATAGTTGTATTTATGTATAAATAACAAAATTATTTGTTCTTTTCAAAAAAGTAATACAGTGCAGAGGTAGCTCTTCCATGTGATAAGAGTGTGAGGATGAGTTAGCCTTCAGTGGTGAAATGATAGGGATCTACTTATTTTTGGTTTGCATGAGTTCCGAGTATGTAAATCTATCAATTCCTGAAGAAATTTGCATTTAAATGGAAAATAATAATTTTCTAGAAAAACACATTTTATGACCATTTTTCCATTGTGGAACAGTGTTGCCATATGGCAACGTTTTCCTAAGTACACCCCTTTTTTTTATTTGTATGATTGAAGCTATTTCATGTAATAAAAACTTATTTGAAAAAAATATTTCATAGTTAGAACATAATGCATACCATAGAGAGTTATTAGCACAATATATTATAAAAAGAACATTATTAACCATTCTTGTATTTTATTCTAACCAGTAACCTTATGGATCAGGGTCTTTGGAACTCTGGAACTGGAAACAAAATACTGCTTTGCTGAGAAAGAACTGAAATGAAAAACTATTTGTTTTAATCCCTGCCTTTGCAATGGACTGCTTGTCGTAATCACTTTTTTAAAATACCGTATCGGCCAGCCCAATGTGGCAGTTTAAATATTTCTAATAATTTATTGTTGTTAGTCAACATTTTTTGTACAAAAACATAATGTAACCTTTCATGACAATTTTCCTACTTTTCTTTAATTCTTAAAATGAAACAAGATAGTTTTTGCTACTGTTCCACACAGACTGCTAAATTGTTCTAAGGGCTGAATGACTCCAGTCAACTGCTATGCGGTTGAAGTTAAGTCGAGGTTGACGTCACAAGAAACACAAGAGATGGGAATGTTTTGCAATTTGCAAATATATATACAGATGCTGACAGACAGCTCATAAGGTGTTGCAACTAAACGGTAACAATGCAACAATAACACTAACTCCCATTTTAGTTCAAAGGAAATATGTTTGATGCACATGTCTGCAATCAGCATAACATAATGACACTCTTGCGAGATCTAGATTAGAATTAGATTAGATTAGAATAAAATTAGAATAGATACATGTCAATGACTCATTAAAAATACCACAAGTTTTTTTTCAGGGGTTTAGCTTTACATGCAGCATAAACAACAGATGATTCACATATTGTGAATCACGCACTGCAGTGCTTATGTGAATGAAAGAAAACAGTATAAAGTGACATAAAAGAAATATAGGCTTACACAAAATTTGTTTCAATAAACAACACATTAACAAAACCAACGGGAAAAAACATTTGTGACAATACGCTGGCTTTCATTTAATTTTTGTGACAGCGCCACATGTTCGAGGAAACTGAAACAGCAGAAAGCAAGTGCTATTCGTTTTCTTTATTTTACAAATGCAGTGTTTTGTTGTTGTTGTGAGTATACATAAATAAAAATAGACCCTTTACAATTACAGTTAAAGCTGTTTTTTTGTTGATATACTGGAACACAAGTAAGGTACAAAACCTTGTTTACGTAATAAATAGCCTAATAGTTTAGCCGCCAAATGTTACATTTCACATATGTAAAAATTATTTGTGCTGAACGAGACATTTCAGTTTCACCTTTGCTTTATTCATTTTTGTCTTGACTTTTAGCATGTTGTTTATAACGAATAGCATTATAATATGTTTTATTATATAAATCTATATAATTTTACTGCTACTTAAATTACCAGTATAAATTAAAGGATCAGCGACTAGTCGACGTCAAGCTTAAAGCGTCATGGCAGAGCATTAAAGACGACTAATCTGTGCAACCCCAAGTTCACTCAAAAGTTAAAATCCTGTCATTTATTCACCCTCATGTTGTTCCAAAACTATTAGACTTTATCTAATCTTCAGAGCAAAACTGTTTTGAGCAAAACAAAAAAGTTTTTTGTCTATCCATGGTAATCATCATCTCCTCAATACTGAACCATATTTTATCTTGTGTTATAGACTTTCTTGGTGTAATCTCACTGGTCGGTTCTGTGAAAGTTTGTCTTCATCTCTACAATCATCAAACTCAACGAGAGAGCTGGACATGAGCAACAATAATCTGCAGGATTCAGGAGTGAAGTTCCTGTCTGAGGCACTGAAGAGTTCAAACTGTCAACTCAACATACTAAGGTAAGAAAAACAGATAAAGGTTCACTTGGTTATGAAATTAAAAATGCCCTCTTTGTATTGGTTCCAGCCTGTTATTATAAGGAATTATAAGGAAAGAAATATGTGACAAATGAGTTCACTTAAAATAGTGGATAATCCTGCTTTAATACACTGCTCTCTGGAATAGAATCCTGATAACGAGCAGAAACTGATATCAGATTCCTCATCAAGGTAACTCAAGCTGACAATACTTTTATATGTCTCTTGTATGATCGCTCTCTCATGATTAATTCAAGAGGCCTGCAAATGGTGCTATCATGCTGTCTCAGTTATGGATTGTTTTGAAAATGAAATCAGAGGAAGTTAGTGCAAATGTGACCCATGCTGGCAAAAGGAATTGGAATGCACACAGGCTAATTTTGAGCTACAGGCAAAAAAAAAAAAAAGAAGTGAAAAATTTAGATTTTGGTCGAATTTGTAGGCAATGAAAGGCTCATTATTGTGATTTAAATGGTTTATTAATCAACGTGAGATTAATGCTTAAAATGAACGACTACTAATCGACCAGAAAAATCTTTGGTCGAGGGCAGCCCTAATATAACAGTTTTAACACACTGTAAAAGCGAACAGTTAAATTAATTAAATTAAATGAGTTAATTTCACTCAAATAATAATGAAAGTTCATTGTACTTAAATGAAAGACGTTCTGTAAACTTAAAATATCGTTGTAGTAAGCTGAACTTAAAATGATTGATTTTTCTAGTTCTCAGCATGCTTTGCATTCGACAACAAGGAAAATAAATGTCGAAGTGTTATTTTCTGTGTTTTTGCACAAGATTAACATAGAGAGACATAAGTTAGTACTTAAATGCTGTGTTATGTTAGGATTTATATAGGTTTCTGTTTTGCTGGTTTTGTAGTGTTACCGTTGTGGTGAAGAGTAGAGCCTGTTGTTTGACTATTTACATGCAAGTGCAAAATGAGAATCTTTTTGATAACTACATTAGCATGTGCTAGTGTGCTGTTGCTAACTAGCACTTAACTATAAAGGTCTGAATGAATGTCATGCTTATGGAAGCAAGCTGTATATAATTTTCGTCGTGATGATTGGGGTGGGATCATGGAAGCGAGGCTTGGTTTGGCTCCCATGGTGCCCCACTTGTCATAAAAATTTTAACCTCTACTAGCTTAAAAAATTTGAGTTCATTTACTCAAATGTTTTGAGGCAATACGCTTCCTCAGATGTTTTGAGTATTCTTAACTAATCAGGTTTTACAATATATGTTATGATTATTTGCACCATGTGGTGTTGTTTTGGGGCTTGTTTTAATCATAAAAATCTGCTGTAAGTGTATGATATGCTACTTTATTCTGTTTATGTGTCAAGGAGTAATAAATGATTTTGTTATTTATGAAAATGGAATATTGTTACTTGTGTACACAACAGTGGATGATTGTGATTATATGAACATTTCCAACATTATGGTACATGACTACCCTATCTCTATGAAGCTTTGCCTTTCCACTTGATTAATATTATTATATGTAATACATTGTAAAGTGGAAGCATCACAGATAAGCGCTGTCAAATGTTTGTGAATGTGAATGAGTATGTGCATGTATGCACACACACTCACACAAACCACAGCAGCACAAACTGTGGTTGCCAGCTTAATAATTACACCATGTCTAAAGTGAATTGTGTTTGTATGTGTGCTGTTGTTTTGTTACATGCTGTATATTTAATTTTGGTTTAATTGAAGGGTTATTTCCACTGATCTACAGCTGACTGGGTTTTTATTATAGAATTCAAAATAGCCAGCAGACAGTAAAGCCACCGGAGGTGTACAGGCAGTCATATTGCTATTCCCAAATAAGTTCCCAAATAAAACAATATAGTATAAAGTAACTTAATTACATAGTCACAGTGAATAGCTGAACAAAGCTAATTAAGTTATGTGTGCATACCTTACAAAGCATAAATATATATTTCAGAAATTTTAGGATGAGCACTTTGACGTATGAGGTGTCTCTTCTGTCTGTTGCACTGATCTGACATTTGCTCCTAATGGAGATCAACATAACTTGCTCACACTTTCAATAAGCTCAAAACTTAAATAACCATTTGCATTCTTAGTTTGTTTGCTTTGTAAGAATGTACTGGAAGACTTCAAATATAAAAATAATGGCTTGATAGGTAATGTTTACTTATTTCATTAGGATAATTTCTTATTAATTGAATATAATGTGTTGGAATACCAGTGTCACGATACTGCTACTGTGGAGGAGACGAAGCAGCGTGGAGACTAAGGAGATTCAGAGTTCATCACAGTCTTTATTAAATCCAAATAAAGACACACATGGAACGGGCAGGAACACACACGTAGCAATGGGGTTAGACATACAATACCAGACACTAGACATGGAAAGACACAGGGCTTAAGTAATGGGACTAAATCAAGGAAATTAATGGGAACCAGCTGAAACAAATGAACATAATTGACACGAGGGAGAAACTAGATAATGGGGAGAACATGGGGAGAAAAACACAAGACACAGGAACACAGGACTGACTTTACTCCCCCCTCCCGGAAGGTGCGTCCATGTGCCACACAACATCCAACGGGGAGGGGGGGAGAGGGGGTGGGTGCTCTGGAGGCCCCTCAGGACAGGCACACACGCAAACGCAGCGCCAGGTCACTGAAATCAAACATTTTTGAAAACTCCTGCCAGGGTGAAGATTTTCAAAAAACTCCGGTTGCAGTGATATCATGTAGACAGCGAAACCGGAGTTTTTGGCTTGTGACGTTGGAGCCTGCGCTGTTATCTTCGCCTACTGGAAATGTTTTCAGGCTTCTGATTGACCAACATGGCTTTACGGTTGAGATTATATCACCACCTGTTGGTTTGGCATGCTATTGACAGTGGTTCATAGCATGCGTTTGCATTTTCATGTGGACAGAGATTTTTTTTTAAAATGGAAGTCCGAAAAACTGTTTATAAAAATACCTGTGTACGTGTGGACATGGCCTTAGTGTTGTTTAGTGTTTAAGTGGTCAGTCAATATTCATTGTTCACATCCTGATGAAAAATATTTGTCATGTGATCTTAAAACACATTTAATCATGTGTTATAGATTTGCTGGCTGTAATCTCACTGATCAGTGCTGTACAAGTTTGTCTTCATCTCTACAATCATCAAACTCATTGAGAGAGCTGGACCTGAGTAACAATAACCTGCAGGATTCAGGAGTGAAGCTTCTGTCTGATGGACTGAAGTGTTCACACTGTCAACTCAACATACTTAGGTTTGTGATTTTCAGTTAAATGTAACTTAATTGGCCAACATGGCGTTACGGTTGAGATTATATCGCCACCCGTTGGTTTGGCATGCTCTTGACAGTACATTGTTTTTGATGATAGAACTGCTTGTGGTTTCAACAAACCCATCAATTTATCAAAATTTCACCATCCAGTTAGGCTCATCAACCATAACTCCTTCAAAAACAGCTAGAAACCTTGGAGTTGTGATTGATGATAAGCTGAATTTCTCAGACCACATTGCTAAAACTGCCCGGTCCTGCAGATTTGCTTTAGGTCCTGCAGATTTTGACCATTAGGAAGATCAGGCCCTTTCTTTCAGAACATGCAACACAACTCCTTGTTCAAGGGCAAAGATGAAGACGACGATCCTGACTCACCATCTCCTCATTGGAGGCGCCTTTAGAGAGAAATGCATTTTTACGGATTTTATAAAATCCGTAAAAAGAGTTTTTGTATTTGTATTTGAGTTGAATTATTTAGTTTTAAAGTAGTAATTTAAAATGTTCTATAGATATATTTAGCAAGTCTGTGAGGCAAGTATTCGCTGAGTTTCGGTTCATCATTGTGTAGCGCTCCTGGCCGAAATTGCAGAAAGCGCATCCTGTATGTATCCTTTATTTTATAAAAGAACAAGGTTTTGTTGATATTGTGAGTGCACACCAATAAAAGTAAACGCTTTACAGTTCAGAGTGATGTATTACTCTTACCTTTATGAGCAAAAATGACGGCATATTTTACGTTGTTTCCAATGCAAGTGATCGTGCCGACGCCTCCATGTCCTGTAAAGCGCGCTTTAGCTCTCCGCACAAACGATTAAATATGCATCTAATAGCGCACATTTATATAGGTTAAACATTTAAACTAACATTGTGATATGCTTGAACTGTTTTATATCTATAGATTTTATTTTAGGCAAGTCGTGATGATTTGAGAAGGCTAAATTGATCAAACATAGGCTATGATCAGCTCACTGTCTGCCGCTGGCCGCTTGGTCATTACTTTAAAAAATAAAAACTTACATTTAATGAACAAAAAAATTTTCCAAACGTTTTTCTAAATTAACTTAATAAAAAAAACTAAACTAAATATAATCACTTTGACATTACATACAAAACTGAACTATTTTAATAGATGAAACAGTAGTATAAGCTATTTTGGGAGAAGGGGGAAAAAAAGTCGGGCCTGAGCGTCTCGGGCCAGGGCCGGGCTAGGGCCTATATTTGAGGCCCGTGCAGGACTCTAACGTGTACTGCGTTAGGCTAACCGCTTTAGATAAAAGCGTCTGCTAAATGTAAATGTAACTTAGTCCAGACACAGTAAATTTGACCTGTCAGTGTCTGATTATGCAATGTGTTAAACAGTACTTGCCAGCTGCTTTCACTAACTAGAGTCACAGTGGAAAAATAGTCAGGAATTGCATGTTTTGGAAAGATACATGACAATATTTTACCTGGTTCTGTTTAGAGTGACGGGTTGCAATCTCACTGATCAGTGCTGTGAAAGTTTGTCTTCATCTCTACAATCATCAAACTCACTGAGAGAGCTGGACCTGAGTAACAATGACCTGCAGGATTCAGGAGTGAAGCTTCTCTCTGATGGACTGAAGAGTTCACACTCTCAACTCAAAATACTGAGGTAATTTTATGTACATTTTTTTAAATTGAATTATTTATTTGATTTATTATTATAAATGGTTTATTCAC